TGCAGCAAACCACCATGGCACATGCATGCCTGTGTAATAAACCTGCATGTTCTGCACATGTACCCCAGAACTTAAAGTATAATAATAATAAAAAAGTTCAAACAACACAAAATATGCAATCTCACATTTTTAAGGCAATGTCTATTAACAGTGAGGCATGTGTCCTTCCCAACCATTGCTGCATGCATCCAAATACGGATATTTTGACAAAGTGTGATTGCCTATGCATTATGAGGGGCGCCTGATGGGTGTGCACGGAGCCGAGTGGGTTGCGGGCATCGTGACAGGCGTGGGGCGGGCGCGGCGCCCTGTGGGCAGCTCTGGCGGGGAAAAGGAGGGGCTGAGGTGGAGAGGACGCGTGTGGCGAGCTGGAAACACTGTCTGGCTTCAGTGCACACCTGGCGAGGGAAGAGCAGAGGAGGCGGAAGCGGCGGCTGAAGAAGCGCATCTTCGCAGCGGTGTCCGAGGGCTGCGTGGACGAGCTGCTGGAGCTGCTGGCAGAGCTGCAGGAGCTTTGCAGGCGGCGCCGCGACCACGACGTGCCTGGTCAGTGTCTGAGCCTGGCGGAGGGTACAGGGCTGGGTCCCTGCTTGGCTTCGGGTGCCCACCTTCCCCTCCCCTCAGGAACCTGTGGGGCTGGAGTGTGGGGAGCCCTACATGCTGGATAGGGACTCTGCACTTGACTCTGAGGGGGACGGGGAGCCACAGAAGGGTTTGCGCAGGTGAGATCGTGGTCTGACCGCTGCGTGGAAGGTGGGGGTAAGGCTGGAGAAGGCCACCGTCCAGGCGGGGCTGGGACCCCGAAGCAGGGCTTGAGAAGGGGAAGGGTTCTGAGGGGCTCCCCAGGCATCGGCATTGGCAGGACTCAGGACCTGGGGAGGGCGGGGGGAGTCCAGCACGGTGCCGTTCAGACTTGGGTGGCTTGGTGGATGCTGGAGCCCTGGCTGTCTCCAGGACCAGGGCAGTCTGAAGTTGATGGGGAGGCCATGAGCTTTATTTGCAGGCCACAGGGATGGAGTGGGCAGGCTGGAGACAGAGATTCCAGGGTGGGAGTGCACAGCGGGAAGCCATACAGTGGGCACAGAGGAACAGGCCTTAGAGGAGGCTCCCATGGGCCACAGAGAGCAAGGAACCCGCAAAGGAGATGGCAGAGGAACAGCTGGAGAGGGAGGAGGAGAGCCGCAGTGTGAGGTCTGGGAGTGGGGTCTGGAGGTCTGCAGCTGCAGTCCCACCTCCTCGGGGCTGTGAGGGCCCAGGGCAGCTGGGCTCCCCCTGTAGCTGCATCCCTGCCCACAGACTTCCTCATGCACAAGCTGACGGCCTCAGACACGGGGAAGACCTGCCTGATGAAGGCCTTGTTAAACATCAACCCCAACACCAAGGAGATTGTGCGGATCCTGCTTGCCTTTGCCGAAGAGAACGACATGCTGGGCAGGCTCATCAACGCCGAGTACACAGAGGAGGCCTACGAAGGTACCTTGCCGCCAACGGGCTGCGCCTCGGGGTCTGGGGGTGGGTGCAGGGCCACAGGGCCACTGCCGGCCATGCCACGTGGAGCCACTGCTGCCACTGAGAAGCCCCAAGCATGCAGCACGGGGCCAGGGATGCTGCAGGCACGCCTTTCTTCCTTCATTCTGCAAGTAATTTTGAGCACCAGTTACATGCCAGGCATTGCTTTTGGCACTGGCATGCACTGGTGAATAAGAGATTAAAGTCACTGCTCTAAGGCTGGGCATGGTGGCTCACACCTGTCATCCCAGCACTTTAGGAGGCTGAGGTGGACACATCACCTAAGGTCAAGGGTTCGAGACCAGCCTGACCAACATGATGAAACCCCATCTCTACTAAAAATACAAAAATTAGCTGGGCGTTGTGGCAGGTGCCTGTAATCCCGGCTACTCAGGAGGCTGAGACCTGGAAGGCGGAGACTGCAGTGAGCTGAGATCATGCCACTGCACCTTAGCCTGAGTGACAGAGCAGAACTCCATCTCAAAATAAATAAATAAAGCAAGTCACTGCTCTAAATAAGGTAATTTTAGGTAAAAAATGCTATGAAGGCTGGGTGCGGTGGCTCAGGCCTGTAATCCCAGAACTTTGGAAGTCTGAGGCTGGTGTATCATGAGGTCAGGAGATCGAACCATCCTGGCTAACATGGTGAAACCCCATCTCTACTAAAAATACAAAAAATTAGCTGGGTGTGGTGGTGTGCACCTGTAGTCCCAGCTACTCAGGAGGCTGAGGCGGGAGAATCGTGAATCTGGGAGGCAGAAGTTGCAGTGAGCCAAGATCGCGCCACTGCACTCCAGGCTGGGTGACAGAGCAAGACTCCGTCTCAAAAAA